ATACCATTCTTCCACTTTATTTATGGGGCTCAGTGTATACAGCACTGCATTCAGATTAACATGCAATCTTTTGATTCAGGTATTTGCATTAATGGAATAGTAAGAGAAGTGCAGTAAAGATCAGTTGATTAAGGACTGATAAGAATAAGGAATACAGGTTGTACCTCTCTGCACTTATGTGACTTTTGTTGATGAAAAATAGTAACATTTAAGGCTGTAAGTAGGTTTATGAAAGTATGGTTAAAATGCAATGTACCAGATTTTTATTTGCAATCTCTCCCTCACTTCAGTCCTTTGGCTTTAAGAAGGTAGATGCAGTTACATTGGACACAAAGGTTGTTCAGAGCATAAGTAACAGTTCTTCTATTTAAGAATTAATTTATATGTTCCAAAAATATTATTATTATTAAAATTTAATATCCCAAATAATTTAATTAATATTGATATTTTAATTGACATTTTAAAAATTATTTTAAAAATTAACAACATAGCCAGCATTTTACACAGCATCAAAAGATCTGCAGAAGATGGTGCAATTAACTCTTTATTATATTTATGCTACACATATTTATACATTAGACAATGTGAAAATTCTAAAGTTTAAATTATCAAGGTAGTCTCAGCTTGTTAGAATATTCTCATTAACTTGTTGAATGTCACATTTTATTAGCATGACTGCTACTGTTTCAGATGAACATGTCTATAGTGAATAGAACAAATACACTGCTATATTGGTTCATATGTAACAATAAGCTAGAATTGTTTAATGCTTACTATGTAAATTATGCCATTTGTCTCCTGCTAGCAGGAATTGCTAAATACTACAGGAAATCGTATTTGTGGTTTGCTTTGTGTTACATTTCTAAACAAGTTAAGAACAAGTCCTCTCTTTAAATTAAGAGGAACAAAAAATCCTGGTGTGCATTTAGCCCTAAAGAAGTAGCTAACAGGTCTAATATGCTTAACTACTCCTGCCAGCAGGAGAAATCAAGCAATGTAATCAAATGACATTTCTCAGCAAGCTTGTTCAATCAAGATATGCTGGAATTGACTTTATGTGTAAACTGACCATAGATTCACTGCAATAAGAACTGTTAAGTTACTTCACAAATATTATTGAAACTTGCATTTTGCTGAACCAATTTAATCACTTACACACTGAAGCTATATTACTATGTTTTTAAAATAACATATAATTCAAAATATTTATTTAAACTGCTTTATCCCAATCTGCTCATATTCATAGTAACCCATAATTTCATTAACCAAATCTTTAAAATGCAAATACTAACTAAAACTTGTAACACCTAAGACAGGTAGAATATAAAAATAAGATAATAAATCACAAAGCAAAATGCCCTCAGGAGTAAGAATGTTCTACATTTTTGGGGGGGAAAAAACAAGAAAGAGACAACAGAATATTTTAGAACTGTGGAGCAGCGACGTAAAGGACTGAATTTTCAGAGTTAACATCCTATCTCATGGCAAAAGCCCTTGAAATAAGTTGAAACCAAAGGACTGCTTATGGGATTGCGGACTACAATGGGTTTAACGGTAAATAAGCATGACCCCCTTAAATCAAGCTAGGAGCAAACTAACAATTAGAATCAGTTAAACATCATCATAGGTAAAACAAGCATAAAGAAGAGACTGGAAATATCCTGCTGGCTCACAAGAGTAATACCCCCCTTCAATGTTCAGGTGCTAACCATTTTGATCCTATGTCATGATTACTTTAAGAGTTTGTAAGTCACCTCCAAACTGACACATCAGTGCTGATATAATGCAACATATGAAGCAGTCAATGCTAAGAAAAGAAAAATGGCTTTACATAGGAGACAAGAAGAGGGAGTGAGAAGTTATGCATGAGCCTATAACACTGTGAGGAAATATGATTTCCTGTATTCTCTCATCATTGGCTATGGTGGCAGAGTTTGATGTAAGGTGAGATTCAACCATTCAAAGACACAAGTTCCCATCCCTGGCCTGTATGAAATATGATGGTAAGTTAAGCTAAAATTATAATTTCTACAAGGTTGGGGTTTTTTTGCTCTTCCTTGTCTTTAACACTCAATTAAATTTTTTAAAAAATGTTTTTGAACAAAAGAGTGTAAGAAGGAAAAAGAAAATGCTAGAGGATTAGTCTGCTATAGCTGGAACCTTCTTAAAAATCTTTGAAGCTGAGAGAGGTAATTGTCCAGCCCTCTGCGTTAAATGTGCCTAAGGAATGACACAGAACGTTGGCAATATTTGTTGTGGATAATGAACATTGCAGCCTAAACCTCTCCTAGAACCCATATTGGGAAACACATAGCGTCTAACCTTAATACTCAATAATAGTGTAATTTAAAAGTGTAATATGAGCTTCCTGGGGCAACCCCCCTCACCCCTTGCAGTCTGGATACTGTTCCTAAAAAATCTTAAAGAGTTAGGTAGTATCTTTTTTGCATCCTGTAGAACATTTTCAGAGAAAACAAACAAATGGATCATTGAACAAATCAACCAGAGTAGTTATTCAAGACACAAATTACCAGGCTCAAATTATACTTTGGACACATTACGCAAAGACCTGACTTTCTTGAGAAGTCTAAAATACTGGGAAAGATGGAAGGAAAGAGAAAAGGATGACCACAGACTGGATGGACTCAATTACAGTGGCAATGGGTGCACCATTGGAGGACCTGAAGGACCAGGTTGGGAACAGATCATCCTGGAGAATATCTATGTGGTCACTAAGAGTTGACTTCAACTTGATGGCACATAATCAATCAGTCAAAAGAACATTTTCATTTTATGTTTTCTTTTTTCACATTTTTTCTTTCTTTGTATAAAATAATTCAATCTTGAATCATTACTTATTTATTTAAATGTTTAAATGCTTGGTGCTTCTCATGCTGAACCTCTGTATCACATACAATGATTTTTATTACACAGCATTCTACTGTAATTTCCCCTCCTTTCTTGACTCACAAAATACATTCCAGTATACAGTAGTTTTCATATAATGCTAATATGCAATCTATTATTTACTTTATTAAAGAAAAACAAATTTTTAATTTAGTTTTTTTAAATTAATTTTTTAAATTAGTTTTTAGCCAGTCTGATGTAGTAGTTAAGGTGCTGGCCTAGAAACCAGGAGACTGAATTCTAGGGTTCCCTTAGGCATGAAAGCTGCTGGGTGACTTTGGGCCAGTTACATTCTCTCAGCCCAACTTACCTCACAGGATTGTTGTTGTGGGGAAAATAGGAGGTAGGAGTATTAGGCATGTTTGCCACCTTGAGTTATATATAAAAAAGGAGAAATAAAAATATAATAATGATAACGATAATAGAGCTAAGTATTTGAAAATTTTCATTTGTAGTTTTCATTCAACAAGAATGTTAATTTTATTCATATACTACCACTACAGTTGTGACTATTACAATAAAATTCAAAACATGAAGTGAATGCCTTTAGTATTTAAGCTGAGGTATTTAAGTAGTTACTCATTTCTATAGCTTATGTCAAATTCATTAATAGTGAAAACTACATAAAATCCACAGAATCAACTCATCCATTTTAATATCAGCTTTAAAAATGTGACATTTCCTATCTTGATTTTCATCAACCCTTATGCCTCATTAAGTGTGATGCCAATCTGCAGTAAGAAAAGCACTTTGCCATGTTTATATTGACATTTTGTAGCTGATCTTAAAAAATATTTTTACAAATGCTTTTTTATCTTGCAAGCAGTCATGTGGCTCAATATAAAAAAAATCAAAGTTCGGATGTTAGCTAGGAACAACAGAAATATTGTCTAATAAACAAAATCAGGAGATTATTGTCAAATTCTCTTTTTGCTAGAACTGATCATCCTCTAAAGGGTATATGGGAAAATGCAAATAATTTTTTCTGGATATTATCAAATATTTGAAATCCCAGCACACTGCTTACAGTGTAAGTCAATGATTTTGTATAACAGGAAATGGATAACATGTGCAGAAGATTTATAAATATTTCTGTTTAGATAAACAAGGTTGAGTCCAAAATGAATGAATTAAAACAATCATACGTCCCAGATGTTTCTAAACATTAATTTTGGCTACAGTATCCACACCACATTAGTTACGGCTAATTCAGGCAAAGGCAAACAAATTGTATCTGGTGAATCCATGATATGGAGAGGAGGTGAAACAAGAAGCAGAGAATGAGAATCCCCCCCCCCTTCATCTTCTGTCCTTATTTATCCATTCTTGTATATTGTATATATAAACTTGATGTTATACTCAACAGCAACACTGCCCAACTGAAACAACATGACTTTGGGCAGTGTACAACAAAAATATTCATTCAGCATGCAGACACACACCAAAACTATGCATTAAAAAATAACCCAAATATGAAAATGGCAAACTGACATAATAGATTAAAACAACCAATACAGAACACTGCTCATCTAGAG